TGTCACCCTTAACATATACATCTATATCCCAATGTATTTCTGTAGAAATTCCCTGCGTGCCAAAATCTTACATGGGGTTTAATAAAACTGTAGCTGTAGTTACATATCCACACAACACAAATTCAAATAGCTTTCTAAAAATGATCATTATAACTATCCATGCACATAAATTACATCTGCATATCATCTTCGAGACATAGGTGGAAGTTTGCCAAATTGTAGGTTCAGTAAAAGATGATGAGATGTTTTGCACAGGTGTATTTTGTTTAAATCCCCTCTCTAATGTGTCTGTGTGAAGATATTTATCTGTCTGTTAATTCCAGAAGTATTTTACTTTTCTCAGGCAAAGCTACTTGAATAGACTTTGACGAATGAAGTGACCATGAAAGTCATCATAGCCAGCTTACCTCTTCCTCCCAATAAACAAAATAAACAGTTTCCAAGTTTGAAACTGTCACAAAAGACTTCCTTCACTGAAGATGTGTCTTTGGTTAGACAAATCAAAGGGGAAGCACTCTATGCGTTTGTTACCCAGAACACTGTCTGCTTAACTTCGCTGAATCTCTGCCTATGTTGGTCTGGTTTGTCTTTGAGGACAGGATCCCTGAAAGCCAGGACTTCTGAAGATCAAAAGTCCTTTGTGATGTATCTTAGAAAAAAACTGATTGAATATATGATGGCTGCCAGAGTGACTACCGGATAACTCTAACTTGAATGTAATCTAGCTGCATTCTAAGTACACACGCCTTGGTGCCATCACAGTTGACATTTCCATCATTAGAACACAAAGCCAATTAAAAGGAGATAATAGTAATAATAATAATAATAATAATAATAATAATAATAATAATAATAACAATCTATGCTTATTCTCAGAGAAGACATGTATATTCCTCTCCTGACTCCCATCTCCACTTTCTTTATTCTGCATCGATAATCTCCTCAACCTTCAGTGATTCAATAGCTGGCTTCTAAGCCCCATCTCATGCTTCTGTGATTTTTCAGAGAAGGAACCTTCCTTCATTGCTCAGACAGTGCAGCGTCTTAGCGACTGGTTCGGCAACACCAAGAGAGGAAAGGGCTCATCTAGTTCGGGTTTAAAAAATGGTAATACTTCAAGGAAGAACACAGTTCAGAATTCTAGACATCAGCCTTGTCTGCAAAGATTTGTAGTTCTTCCTCTGGCACTAGGAGACAGTGAACTGTAACAATGACCCCTTCTTTCAGATTAGGGGTATGCCAATGTGATTCTCCACATCTATTTTGATCTCAGGCACGACAATTCATGACCACTGGGCTGGAGGTGGCTCCATTAGCCTTGTTTCTTATGTGACGACTGAAGCCTTCAACAGAAACTCAAGCTGACATACACAGAAAGTGTCTGTGTTTGGTTTTCTGTTTGATTTTTGAGATATCGTTTATGGACATAGCTCAGAGCTGCCTTGAACTCAAAAATCCTGCATCAACCTCCTAACTATGCAGACTACATCCACATTCTACAATCCTTGGTTAACAATAAGTTTTTAAATTTTTCATTACAGAGGTTTATAAAATGTTTATTAGCACAATACATTCAGTCTATCTATCTATCTATCTATCTATCTATCTATCTATCTATCTATCTATCTATCTCTCACAATATCTTTTTTTTGCTTTGTTTTTTGTTTCTTTGGTTTTTTTGTTTGTTTTTTGAGACAGGGTGTCTCTGTGTGGCCCTGGCTGTACTAGAATTTGCTCTGTAGACCAGGCTGGTCTTGAACTCACTGAGATCCACCTGCTTCTGCCTCCTGAGTGCTGGGAATAAAGGCATGCACCACCATGCTCAGCTACAATAAATATCTTATCTCATAGTAAAAAGAATTTTTTCTTAAATCTAGAGACATTGATACCATTTTACATATAACTTATTGTTTTTTATTATTTAACTGTGAGTTAATATTACCCTCAAAGTAATTAGCTGAAGAAAGAGTTAAACAACAAATTTTATTTGTTGCTAATAAGTTTAAGGTTGTGAACATTGATTACAAGTGTATATGGAATGTAAAGAATATATATATTTTTATTTTATAATTTTATAAACTGTATATTTCTAGGTGTTCGCATAAACACATGAGTGTAGTGGGTAGCTGTTCCAGCTTTAACCAGGAAGTACTACCCCTATTGAGGCTTCCAGTAACTGTCACACCTATGAGATGGGCCAAGACAGGAGCACTTAAGTCATGAGATTCAGATGTGCCGGTTATTTTGGTTCCTGGATCCTGGACGCTGGAGGTAGACCAAGCAGAGTTCTTTAGAGAACACCCCTGGACTGCACTTCACCTTTCCCAGACCCTGTAACCCATCCCTTTACTTGTAAGTTACCCCATAAAATAAACCTCCCTTTTAACTACGTGGAGTTGCCTTAATAATTCCACCAATACATGAGATTATGTATAACAAAGCTGTAAACTTTCTAAATCTCACAGAATTACATAGTTAGGTTTCTTAAGTTTCTTCAGGAAAAGCTGTTTTTTATTTGTATCTTTATCCTAATAGTTTAAATAATTTATTTGTATGACATAAGCAATTGTGACACTAATTTGACATTTGTAACTTCATTGCCTCCTGATACAATGAGGGTCCTTTATTGTCACAACATAAAATACGGGGGGCATGAAAGTCTAGAAGTAGACTCTAGAGGAAGTATGAATTGCTCTGAAAAAGGAGGGAGTATAAAAAGTGAAAGACCTATGAAATCTTGGAGAATGAAGAGGACAGGCAAACAGAAGAAAGAATTTGTACTAACAGATCAGCCAAAAGAAACATCCAGAGGTGGGGGGGATACATATTCAAATCTTTCTTCTTGGGTAGGAAGAATGTAAGATGTGAAAACCTCCCTTGACAATCTTAAGAAAAGTTTACCAGCAATAAAAATAATCAAATCTTTATGGGTTGGATGATATCAAGGGGTCTTTGTCAATTGCTGATGAAAAGCAGCATACACAAGTTTGGAAAGACTTGATTTAACCCAGCAAATTCCTATTGTAAGTGACATTAATTGGAAAAGCCAAAAACCACACACATTTAACACAGAGTCCATGTGCACTGAGTTTGGCCAGAAATAAATAATTTCAGAAGCACTAGAGTGGTTAGCTGTCAACACTTACTGCGAGGATGATCTGGAGGGAACTATGAGCCACTTCTATGTATTGGTACTCCAGAAAACACCCTGAGACAGTGATGTATCGATGGTCTTCTGGGGCCCAGTCTGGAGCTGGCGTCACAGATGTCACCATACATCCTGGTCCATTCTCCATCCACCAAGATCGGTGCATTGAAATATTAAATGTCAGGATAAGGTCTGTTTCCTGCAAGAAGGCAATTTGTAAGGATGAGAAAAACTATAAATATTAGTTTATTTGGGATGGACTTATGTTTCCTGTTTGAAAATGTAGGTCCCTCCCCATCTCCAAGTAGTGTATATTATAGGCACTTAAAGAAACAAAGTAATAATGTGTATATAGATTATACTTTTGAAGGCTTGACTGCCATAATACTAACAGTAAAAATATTTTTTCAGAAAAATTACTAATCATTTACATTAATTGTAGTGTTGAAGTGTCCCCTTTGAGACTTAAAACTTCATGAGACTAGTGATTTAAACTATATAATTGTGTTAAATTAGTGTTATTATAAATCTGATTCATTTCTTTTCTCTCCAAATATTTATTTTTCTCACATTTTAGTTTCAAACTGAATCTCAATTTGACTACATTTACGTTAGTGTTGGGGCTAATGGTAGGATTTTTTTTGGATCTTTCCATAATACAACACACTATTACTTGGTTTTCCCTTTCTACTAAATTTGGTCCTGTTTGTCCACATGGAATTGGTTCCAGGACCCTGCAGACATCAAAATTCGAAGAAGCCCATGTCCTTTATATTAAAAGGCAGCTGCCTGAATAAACTGCATAGCCTTTGAGTTTAGAGGGGAAATTGTTTCAGCAAATCATTATCTTCAATCTTGTTAACTTCCATTGTGAATTTGTTCATAACATTTTTTCTTAGAAAATATCAGCAAATTCTTACAGGATAGAGATTATAAACTCACAGCGCTTTGGATGAATTGGATGGTATACAATGTAATTGATTATACACACTGGCAAGAAGGTATCAATGGCAATCAAACATAAAGAAGGTACAGGGAATGCATCAAACACCTTCCATTTCTCAGAGTCATGAGGGATGACCGATGTGGGAACTGTATTACTTCAATGGTATGGAGCTATGGGATAATAGGAGCAAACTGCTCTTACTCCAGAATGAGTTGCTCATCAAGGTTTTGTGACCTTGAGCCACTGACTCATGCTGAAAACACTAAGGATTAAGTTATAGCTGAAGAACCCATGCACTGTAGAGAGGATCCCATTGGAGAAAAATGTGCTATGGTGTCACTGTCTTTCCTGTATTACTCAGGTAAAGATGGAAGAGAGTATTCCTTCTTCCTTGGAAACTTGGAGACAAAGAGCTGGTGGCTACTGACTTAGACTTAATAACTCTCGAAATAAAGCTTACAGATAAAGCCATCTGCTCAGTGACCAAGCAAAAACTGGTGATGGTTTTGGGAAATAAGTATATTGCCACAGAAGACAGGTTCAAAGTAAAGAACTTTGGGAGAAATTTGTGGTCCACCATGAGAGAGTTAACTGTGGCTGTTTCCCACGGCTTTCCAAGAATAGAAGAAGTTCTGTTAGCAAGGCAATAACAGCTGTATCTTTCCTGCCTCATATTCCCAGGTTTTAAAGAAAGAAAAGTAATACAAAAAAGTAGAGCAGGGAAACCGACAGTCATGTGCCTGCTGCTGAGCCACTTAATGTAAGTCACTTTCTGAAGTGTCCAACAATTTACCATGAGCAAGTCGGTTTGATAATCCTCCAAAAGTCTTGTTGGTGCCTATATAGCTTCCCTGTTCCCTTAACTCTTCTCATTTTCTATTCAGGCCTGAAGGAGTGGGAACAATAATTGCTAATTAGGAAATGCGTGGTTATGAAAAACAGAAGGACACACACACACACACACACACACACACACACACACACACACACACACAGGCCTTTCCTATGGAGTGGGGGTTAACTTTGAGTGAAACTTGAACATCTTTATTCCAGAGCTAGAAAGCAACTTTTGTTTTGTTTTGAAACAACTTCTCACTGTGTAGCTCTGGCTGGCCTGGGGCTGGATATATACCCCAGACCTGGCTGAGAACATCAGAGATCTATCTGCCTCTTTCTCCAAGTGCTGAGATTAAAGATGTGCACCACTGGCCCTGACCAGCTACTTTCACTTTTAAAAGTGACCATTTAGGAAATGATAGTCACTTCAGATGAGTTCTTATTTCAAAGAACCAGGAAATCTGTCACTTCTTGGATCTGGTTGCAACTGAGTCAGAATCTGAACAATGGGTAGGTTTTCAGGGTCAGCTATAAGAGTAAAGAATAATGTCCTCTGCTTCTTTCTCAGTAGTCCTCATTTAATATTTAGTTGCCAAAGAAAGCTACAGGGATCACCAGTGATAAGGAGGACAAAAGAAAACAGCTTAAAAACAGCAATTAGAGCAAGATCAAGATGTGAGGGAAACCAGTCTACACAGTCCAGAAAGAACACAGCGTGGTCTCTAATAGCTAGTACTCTTAGTGCAGTTAGCTCAGGATCTCAGTAGTCCTCCTCTTTTCACAGGAAATTGTTCTTAGACACGAGGCTCCATCTGAAAGGATGGTGGAGACGATTTTACAAAAGTGAAATACTGGCTATTTGCATTATTGCTCTTCATCATTTGGGGCAAGACTTACTTCTCATATAAAAATTTAACAAAAATTAGTAAACAATCATGCATTAGTTTGTCAGGATGATCATTGTTTTCAGATAGGAACTAGGGCCCAGACCACAATGCTGAGAATCTGGTCGTTGGCTATCTCATTAAGCATGAGGCTGTCAGGACTTCTGCTGTGAAACTCCTTCTCCCTTGGAAACTCTCAGCATATCAGTACAATTGGTCTTCACAGCTTCCAAAAGACCTACACTAAGGCATTGACATAAACAGAGTTTATATATAGTAGAGTTCCTAGGATCAGCAGCATTAATTTATCAGTTTATATTCTAAATACTAATATAAATGGAGGGGAGGAGAGATTTGTCATGATTACCTATACATCATTAAAACATAGCTAAAGTATAAGAGGAAATGGATGTAATAGATGGAGGCATCTAGAAAGCCAAAACATGAATGCAGTTGAAAGGTTTCTCAGATTCCGCCCAGCCCCACGGTCTGTAGTCACTTATAAAATAATCATTCAGAAGCTTAATATTATTTATAAACTATATAGTCTATGGCAGACCTCTTGCTAGCTAGCTCTTACATCTTAAATTAACCCATTTCTATTAAACCATGCTTTGCCTTGGGTTCCATGGCTTTACCTGTGGCTCATTACATGTTGCTCCTTGGGCGACTGGCTCACGCCTCCCCAGACTCCGCCTTTCTCTTTCTTTTAAAAAGAGATTGCCTTTATAATCAACCCACTTTAAATAAAAATAAACATTTATAAACAGTATTTTGGGAATTTGGGCTTAGCCTCTCATACTACTTCCAACTGTTTGGGGCCAGAGCAGAGAAGGCATATAGGTGTGAGTACACAGGAAGTATCCAGTGTCCCTCCCTCTTTTTAGCTGAGGATGTCTAGTGGTGAGAATGTGGCTGGCTTCTTTCTACTTCCCTGATCTCTCAGTTTTTACCCCAATATCTGGCTCCGTTTTTTTTTTTTTATATTAATAAGACCGTTTAGCAATTTGTCTTACACATAAATATCTCAGTTCACTCAGTCCGACAGGTTGGCAATAAGGGAATCAAAACAAGCCCTATCAATCAGACACTATTCTAGAAACTATATGTCTGTTTGTCTGTCTGTCTGTCTGTCTGTCTGTCTGTCTGTACATGTGTATGGGAGTATGGATGAAGAGGTCAGAGGAGCCAGTTCTCACCTTCCAGGAAGTGATCTCCCGGGATCAAACCCACCTTATCATTCTTGGAAACATGCACCTTTATCTGCTGTGCTATCTCACTGGCGAAATTGAACCCTTTCTTTCCTAGTATCATGGCATTAAAAGACAATCTTAACATATTTTCAATATAAATGCAATATATTTGAATGGTACCTTTGATTTCTCCCCAAATTTTAAAAGTGTTTTACCTGAGATAGGGGGTTAGGTTAGACTGAGTGGCAAGACAGTCTGCCTCCTCTTTTTGTATAGACTATAGGAATCAGATATGGGCTCTTACTGATGCTTATAAGGCAAGCACTTTATCAACTGAGATATTTTGCTAGCCTAGTTCTTTCTAGTATACAACCTGCACTATTGTAGTGGAGTATGGTAAACAGCATGACTTCAGGAATTGAGAAATTTATTGTTGTGTTTTTCCAGAGGCGTGAAGTCTGCTCTCAAGGTGCAGTCAATGTGGTTTCTACTAAGCAACAAGGGACAGTATTTGACCAAGCCTTTGGTGACATAATAGTTGTATTTGGCACTCTTTGGCTCCCAAAGTGTAACCATGATCTCTGCTCTCATTTCTCAGAATATCTATCTCATGGACTGTGTTCAAATACTCCCTCTATATAAGCAATTCATTCCTATTTACTTAAAACTCCATGGACCAAAATAATGTTAACTGATTATACCTAATTACTATATTTCCAAATAAATTCACATTTGCTTATACAGGGAGTTGGGATTTCAACATACAAATTTGGAAGGGGCACAGTTCAACCTATAATGCTAAAGTCTGATAGCTAAGGATTATCAGAATGAGACTGCTAAAGTCTGATAGCTAAGGATTATCAGAATGAGACTGCATGGATGACAGGCACTACATTTCACTTTTTTTGTATTGCCTATTTTATTTCCCACTATTAACATGTAGCTTAAAAAGCATACTTCTCATAAAATTAATAACCTATTTGTCCATAGTTTCTGCCACTTCTAAGTATCCTATTGAAAAACAACCATATTCATTTGTTTGGAATTGTTTCTTAAGGTATTTATTTTCATTTTATACATATTATGCCATATTTATATTATTATATCATCATTAAACTATTTATCCATATATTCCTCTAGAAGGTATGAATGAGAAAGCTTAGGTCATGGACTTCTCTATTTTTGATAATTCTGCATAATTTTCCCTAAAATTTGATTAAATCAATAGTATAAAATTTATGACCATATAAATATTTTTATGGCTGAGCTGAGTTTTGAATTATGAGAGCAATTTCTTTCTTATATAACATTTCTTCCTGGAGTTAATAATTCCTTCCCA